AGGCAAAGAAAAGTGAGTTAAATGTTGCAATTGCGTTTAGAAAAGATACGAAGTGCACTTATAAATTGCTGACAGATTGAAAATGTGTATTTTTCTAAGCAGTCGGTGTTGTAAGTCAAAATAGGCTTAAAAAAGGGCCAGCTATAAGACTACTGTACATGAGTCCAAGCAGTGACAGGTAGCTGAAAAACACGGTAATAAAGATAAAAAATCGACGGAGAACCGAATTACAAGAGAGTGAGTAGGATAATTGGCAGATCGAGTAAAATACAGGGAATGCTCATGTATGATAAAGGAGCATATTTACTTGCTAGACGGCTCCGTCATCTATGCTCAAGTCATCATAACTCTCGCCAAAAATATCATCGAAATCCTCATCTTCTTCTTCGTCTTCTTCATCCTCCTCATCGTCGTCAAATTCATTTTCGCCAGCTTCATGGCTGAATTTATTTTCTGTCTCATCACCAAAAGGCATTGCTCTAATGGTATATTCTTCACACCCATTTTCCCTATCTTCATCGAGTCTGCTAATTTGCACCCGTCGTTTCCCATTCCTCAGTTCGCCACACCCAGGACTAGGAACGCCGCTTCCCAAATTTGGACTATCCATGAAACCATCATCGAACGTTGATGGTTCCGTTTCCTTGTATGACTTCATATCCGAAGAAATTAAAGAGCCATCAACAGAGCGAGATTGTGATGTAGATAGAAATACACCGCCACCGACTTTTATCCCGTTGCGAGCTACCTCAAGCGAAGCAGCAGTAACAGCGGTAGTTGATCTGGTCATCCTACGGCTTACGGATTGAGTCTTGGGTCGATTGACTCCGGGAATAACGGCTACTGCTACTGGAGATTCAGCAGAGGCCATAAGTCTATGACGGAGGCAATCTCGCTTGGAGCCCAATTTTGTCCGACCTTGGAAAGATAGGTGAACAGATTCAGTAGATGTGTATAAGATTTGGAACAAAAGGGATTTTTAATTTATCTAGTGTTGTATATTTCAATACTGATGTAGAATGATAAGCAGTTTTTATTCAAATGCGTTATTATATGCAAATTTTATTCACTACAGGCGCTAAAAGAGTCTACATTTTGCTATTTTGTTAATTGAGTCCCAATAGAAACGAAGGCTGGCAATATCCAGAAAAGTTCCAATGCCGAATCCTACTGATATGAATAAGCGAAGCTCATCATGCATCCCAAGGGGGCGTTATTATGCAAAGTAAACTATAGTTCTCATCTCACACGAATCTCCTCAG